CCTCCTGAGAGCAAAGGCTGAATTCAGAATTTAAAAATCTTGAGCAGAAGTGAAAACTTGGCAAAGTGTCTCACTTCAAACCGTAATTTACATATTTCCACAACACTCGAGTGTCACTTCTGGATGCACAAAGCAGGCTCCCAGTCTCCGGGAACATGCTCCTGAAGGGAAGAGCTCCAGCCCACTCTGTCAGATCCGGGTACGTCTGTCGAGGAAGTTCAGGTGAAGTTCTCTACCTTGAGGAAACCATGAGAGTTGGCAATCTCAAAACAATAATAATAAACACTGGTTTGCAGTTAAATCTTGCATAAATAATTTTAAACACTTTGTACAAAAATAGTTCTGCATAATGGAAGCTGTAACAAAAAACAAAACCAAAAACGTGTTAAGACGGTGGCAGAGATGGGGTGTGTGGTCCACTGTTTATGAGGCTGTCTGGAATGAGGTGTTCAAAGACCAACACTGCCACCAGAGAAGCCTCATGCTGAGTTAGATGGCCAGCCACAGCCCATCTGTCCTCCACCATTGGGAATGTCGCCTTGCTAGGCTCCTTAGAAAAGGTCCAGAAAGCAGTGCTGTCTCAGCTCAGAAAGGCCAAAGGAAAAGGACTGGCTCCCTCATTCAGAAGAGCTGGTGGGACAGCTTTTTCCTTGGCAAGACTTGCAAAATGGAATCATTTCGGGGCCTGTAGTTCCAAGTTCCAGGTTGAAAAGAAAACTCCCAGGATTTCTTTTGTAAAGTCTTCCCCATGTCTCTCCCCGCACCATCACCCCCCACCCCCACCCCATATTTACATACTTGCCCTTGGACTAACTCAGTTTTTGCAGGAGTTTCTCTTCTACTTGTCCAAACTGGACACTGACGGACATTTCCGCTATGAACTGCTCACAGCCTTCCTTTGTGACTTGCTTGCAGTACCTTAGGTCAATATGACAGATATTCCCACAGCGTTTGAAGAAGGACAGGCACTGATCAGTGACCTTATTGCAATCTGCAGGGACGAGGAAACAACATGTGATGAGACAGGGAGCCCAGTGGCCCCCAAAGTCCAGATGTTTTGAGCCCAGAACCTGAGGGAAAGGCCCAGTGTGCTCAAGACAACTGCCAGGGGTGGTTTCATTGAGCCTAAGAGTCACCACTCTGCTTCCTCTTGATGGCAAGTGCTAGGTACCACTGGTACCTGCGCTTCACTTTTCCTAAAAAATGGAGCAGGAATGGCAACACCAGCAAGAGGCCCCGTGGGCCAGCAGAAGCTGGAGTGAGGAAGTCTGAGTCACAGCCAGTCCATTGGGGGTTGGGGGTGGGGCGGAGAGCTGGCACATGGTGTGGGGGATGCAAGCTGATAATGATGGTCCCCAGACCAAGGATTGTCCATGGAAAAGGCCCCCTTTCTACTCAGCTCCCTTGATGGAAGGGTCTTTGGGCTCCAGCTTCCGGGAGTTTTGAACCAAGAACCACAAAGTAACCTGACCGGGGACAAGTGAGTCAAGAAGGGTGTGGAGGGGCTTCTACCAAGCTACCTAAGAGGACTAGTAGAGAGGCCAGGCCAGGCAGTGACCCAGTGACACATTTAAAGACGTAGGCAGACTACCTGACCACTGTCCACAGGGACAGATCCCATCACCCTGCAGCAGGACAGAAATCTGAGGAGAGCCTCCTAGGAGAACCACTGATCCAATAGAGGGACACAGACCCTACGCAGGCAGAAGAGACAGGAGAGCCACCTGTAAGGTCCACAAGTAAGATCATCCGCACACACTCAGAGAACGACACACCGCAGAAAGGGATTTACAAAGAAAGAAGCCACTAACATTTGACTGTTTTTGACCGCTACATACACCGCAATTTCATTTGGTTTTTGGTTTACTCTGCCTGTGAGAAGAGCAAAAATTAAAAACTCACATAGAGATGGGCGGAGGAGCACAGAGGATCACACGTGGCAAGAGAAGAGAGAGAAAGTAGAGAGTTATCCTAGAAAGGGAAGAGACCGGAGACAATCGTGATGCAATGTGAGAAAGGGGTATGGTGGCTGACACAGACCCCCTCCTCACCAAACTTCAGAAAATCGAGCTGAAGAAAACTTCCTGCCAAGGTCCAAAAAGGAACTCAGGTCACTCAAGGTTGAAGAATCAAATGGTCTCTGATGCTGGCAGGCAGAAGACGGGTTAATACATCCCAGTTTGGGAAGAAATGTGGCTACCACAGAATCTCACTTGATAATTAACTGTTAGGCATACAAAGTTGGGGTGTCACCTACTAGAATGGATGAATAACCACCATTCCCACCCACAACAGAGGCATAGGGAACCCCAGAGGGCAGACTGGAACCCAGAGTCAAGGCCAGAAGGGAGAACGCACACAAACAGGCAGGGTCTGGAATAAGAGGGGCACAGGGCGAGTCGAGTTCAAATCTGTTGCTCAGAAAATGAAGCAAGCACAAGTGAGAATCACAGAACTTGCACAGTATTTGGTACCTGTACAATAGTGACCAACATTCACGGGCATAAGATGGACAGTGACAACCAAAAATTATGAGAATTAAACATAAAAAAACAGGGAAAGTAGGAATGGTAAGAGTATTGAACCCTCAAGGTCTACAATAGTGAGTTAATACACACGTTAGGTGCGAAAGGCTATGTAGAAGAAATGAAAAGCAGTGTAGGCTTGTTGGGGAAAAAATGGAGGTAAACAGGGTAGGGTGGGGTTGGGGAGAGGGGGAACACACAGAATGGGAGGCAAGAGGTAAAGCCAGGGTCTGGCTTAAGCACCCATTATTCAGGTCAACAAAGGAGACAACTGTGCCTGCCCGGTCACTAGCCTATAACCACGCTCACTGATCCTGAAATGCATCATCCATCTGGTGGGGAGGCTCGCCATCCCCAGCAGAAAGCGGCAATAGGGCATCTAGGAGAGTCTGGGCCCAGAGATACTCAGACACATGTCACATGCTTAAGAAGAATGCAGAGATGAAAAAAGATGGTCACATGATAGAAGAAACAAAACGCCCACCATGCTTCATTCACACCTTGCCTTGTGGACTGCACTGAGGGAGGGGCTGGTACCCCTCTATCCAGACCAAACAAAATTAAAGACACCCCAAAATACCACTGAGTCTATTCCAACTCATAGTGACCCTACTACCAGGAGGGGAACCATGATGGGGCACAGAGTCAGCATTCGACTGTGTCAAGATATAGGTTAGTTAGCTGACTGTCCGTTTCTGGGGAAAGAAAATGAAACATCTAAAAGGTGTCACAAAAGTGGCTTTGCCACATCCAGATCCCATTGCCCACTGTGGAGCAGCCAAAGCTGGCAGGCTAGGGTCCGGCAGGCCTCTGCCCACCTCGCCACACATGGTGCCCCCCGTTCTTGAAGACCCCTCATTGGAAAGCATGACAGACAGAGCAGTGAAGGGATGGACCGGCATTTCCTTTTCTTCTCCAGCAATAGTCCAACAATAGGGGTGGAGGTGCACAGTCAGAGTGACAACAGCCAGAGCAACAGTGAGCCCTGTACCTCCCTCCCACTGTGCCGTAACCTCATAGCCCAGCCTGGGCGAGTCATCAGCTCACCTGTCACCACCTCAGGAATTCTTCCCTGCCCCTCATTTTGGGTCAAAAGTCATTCCTGTGCCCTCGTACTGCCAGCACTACAAATCCGACCGGAATTGACTGCCTGGGAAGGGCTGTGGGGGACTATTCTAGGGATGACCACCAGGGCAGGGGATGCTCCCCTCCCCACCTCAGGCAGCAGGGCTAACCGCTCACCTGACAGGGTGATTTCAGTTAAGGAGTCTCTGGTGGTGGTGCCCACAGCAGTGAGCAGGTTGATGGACTGGTCGGTGACATGGTTACAGTAGCTGAGGTGGAGCTTGGAAAGCAGGGGCAGGTGGCGGATGATAAGCCGCAGAGAAGCATCCGTGATGTCCAGCCCCGCCAGGTGCAGCTCCACAATGTTCCGAAGCTTGCTCCGATTGTCCATCTGACCTAGGAGGGCAGGAGGGGGCAGGGCAGCACATCACCATCACCAGGGAGATGTGGTTATGTGGACACAACCCTCAAAAGGCCTCAAAAGATGAAATGCTTCAATTCCATGTTCCCCAGAAACCAGAATTTATTCCAACCTTCAAAAACCAAAAGATGTGTTGCTGTTGTTGTTCCCACTCAGCGACCCTATGTACATGTCACCTCAGTCATACAGTTCTCAGTAGCTAATCCCTCAGGAGAGGGCGGCTTATTCCCTCTTCTTCATCTGTCTTAGTCCAGAGGCGGAGCTGAGCTCAGCCACTTGGGTGACCCTGCTGAAATCTGAAATGTCAGAGGCAGAGTTTCCAGCCTCACTGAGACACACATGACACCACTGGATGGCAGACGGAGAGAGGAGAGGGGGAGCTTGCAGGTTTCTTGAGTCTCACTGGTGCTGGGGTTGAACACTTCCACCCGCCATCCAGAGGCTCCTTGAAGAAAGGGCCGGTGATCGACAGCGGAAAATGTCACATCCATCGAGGCCCCTGCGGAGCACAGTTCTATGCCCACACATGTCAGAGCTGACTCAACAGTAACAGGTAGCGTCTCTCGAGAAATCCAGAGTGAGAAATACTGAGCCAGCATCTTACCCAGTGAGCCAACAGATAGCTTGGTGTCTGGGGTTACCCTGCTCACTCAATGAAGCAGTAGCAGTCCCATCACCTCATGAGTCCCAAAGCAGCCAAGGTCAGGCTGACAGAGTGCTCAGCACCCAGAGGTCCCTCCTGAGGCACCCCCCCCACCCCCCACCCCGCTAGAGCTCCAGGGTGACAGAGACCATGTCTCCCTATGCCCCATCCTCGGCTGGTGGGGGAGGCCTGAGATCTGCAGTCAGACAAAACCAGGCCCCCAGCACAATGGTCCTGCATGCTACCAGGACTTACCCGGCCTATTATCCGTGGGAGGGGACAACAGGTCCCGCATTTGGGCGTCCTTGAGTCCTTCCACCCACTGGACATCCAGGGTCCGGAGCAGTGGGCAGCTGGAGCTGCACAGGGCCGAGACTGCGATCCAGGAGCAGCCAGACAGCACCAGGTCTCGAAGCCCTTAGGGGACAGGGAGAGGCGACAAGTCAGGTGCTGCCCCAGGACCCACCCTCCTTCTCCCCTGCACCACATGGCTGGGAGGTGTGGTCCAGGACTCACCAGGAAGCCGGTTGATAAGCCAGCTCAGCTGCTTCTTGGAGATGTTGGTCCAGCTGAGGTCCAGGGAGACGGGCTGGCGACGGATAATGCCACTCAGCATCAGGGGTGTGATGGACTTGCAGTGGTTCAGGTCAATGCGGGTCCACAACCGCTTATCACAGCACCTGCACAGGCCGAAGGGGCAGTCAGGGGAAGGATGCCCTTGGAGCCTTCACAGCTGCCATTACCTGTCTAACCCCACCAAGCTCAGACCTTCTGCCCCTTCTCTGCCACCATCCAGCTGTGTGCTCACCAAGCTACTATGGGCCAAATCATAAAAGCACATCTGCCCTGTTCACAGAATAACTAGAATAGCTATACTGAGGCCAGAGAGCCAATGAACATCAAGGCTGGGATCACACCAGAGGTCCCACCCCCTAGCTCAAGCCAACTGGCAGCCGTGTGTCTGGGACTCCCTGTGCCCTCCAAGGAGACACTCCTGGAAGGGCAAGTGGGTATCCCTCAATTCACAGACTGCTGTGGCCACCTAGGGCCTTTGTGGAGGAGGCGACGACGACGAGTGTCACATAAGGTGACATTCTGCCCTGGTGCGTGCTCACCAGCGGTTCCATGTCCTGCAGACCCGCATACAAACGCACAGGTCCGGGTGGCTGAGGTAGCTGAAGACGGCCATCCACACCTCCCTGTGCATGACGTGGGCTGCCCCGTCATCCAGGGGCAATGAGTCGGGTGGGGGGCTGATGGGGGGTGGCCGGATCACGTGGCGCTCCATCTGGATGCACTTGGGCGGGGACACGGAGGGAGGTGGCCGGGAGATAACTCGGGGTGGGCTCCGCAGGCTGGGACCCAGCTGGTGCCGCAGCTCTCGGGGGCTGCCATTGAGGCCCTTGCTGAAGCGGTGGGGGCGATCACAGAGACTGGGGGGCCGCTTGGGCTCCTCGTTCTCGCTCTCGGGCTCAGACTTGATGGGCTGGTGGTTCTCATTGGCCAGGCTGCTCTCTGTCTTTCGGATCTCCTGGTTCAACTCTTTACTCAGCTCCTTGCTCAGTTCCTTGTTGGGGAGACGCCGTTTCCGGCGGATCTTCACCTTCTTCTTCTCTTCAGGGCCCTCGGCGCCTTCGGTGCTGGGCCCAGCTGTGGGTGAGCTGGAGCGAGAGTGGTCGCTCTCCCTGGACTTGGGGGGCGCCTCTGGCAGGTCATCTTCCGGCTCCTGCTTGAAGCGCCGGATTGGCTTGTTGGCCAGATTGATTCGGTCCTCTGCATTCTTCCAGGACCGCCGCTGGGGGTGAGATGTGTGGGGTGAGCCCAAGGCAGGACCAGGCCCACCCAAGACCTTCTGACCCTCTGCCACAGGGCTCTCAGGGTGGGGAGAAGGGATATAGTACCTTTTTCCTGAAAAGTTTATCTTCTTTGCCAGGTTTTAGCTGCACAGGAAAGAAAGGATGCAAGGCTTGCCCCCCAAGGTTCCTGGAGTGCAGTCCCTTTCCACCCCCACCCCCACCGCCACCCCAATTGTTATAGCAGGAACAGGTGTGAAGCCTGCTTTACAAAGCCCTCTCCCCCTCACATCTGACTGACAGATGGAGAGCTGCCTATTGGTTTTAAGGAGTATGGCCCCACCCTGACTCCCACCCTGCCAGACCTCAAGATCTGGAGTCTCCCTTGCCAGTGCACTTGACACTGGAGCCATCCCAGAGCCTTCAGGCATTTCTAGCCAAACCTTAAGGGCTGGGTGGCCGCGAGTAGACACCAGGCGCCACCTGGTGGCTGTTGGTGTGAAGGACTAGTGGGCCAAGCAAAGGACAGCCAGGTCCTGGCTGCGCGTGTAAGACCACTGAGGTGGTTTCAGCTTCCAATCCCACCGACCCAGCCCCTGTCACAGAGAACTTCCCAGGCCACACGCCAGCAGCAGCCCCACAGGGTCAGGACTGCAGCCAGGGAGCCCTCGGTGAACAGGGGCCTCACGAATCTGGACCACAAGGGAATGGAGGCCCTCTAAAGGGGCACAGCCCGGGACTCAAGTCCCCAGGGCTCGGGAGGGCGGGGCACATGGGAGCACCTGCTGCTGGAAGTAAGTGAGACTGGATCTCCACCAGGGGCTGAGGCTGCTGCCTAGAGGGGGCCTCGGCGGAAGGTGAGAGGAGGAACCAGGGGACGTTGGAAGCGTCGAGGCCTAAAGGGGGTGGGAAGAGGAGTGACTCGCTGATTGTTCCTTCCTGTCATCTGGGCTGGGCTCTCGGGAAGAATGTGACCTGCCAGGCTAGCACCAGGCCAGGATCCCGAGTTCTGCCCGCTGCCGCCCTGCCCCCACCCCCCACCCGACCTCTATGCTGCCTCCAGGATCCAAAGGGCGGACCCCTCCCCACCAGGCCCTCCTGTCCGTACTCGTTTGCGTCCACTCAGCTCCTGGGGCTTCTCATACTTCCGCTTCCTCCTCAGGTGCACATCGTCTGACTTCCGGCGCAGGATGCTGTCTGGGGGCCCCTTCTTGGGGTGTTCGTCTGACCTGCGCCGGGGCGCCTCCTCACACTCGCTCCTCCGCTTGGCTGGCTCTGGCCCATCCTTGTTGTCCCTGTTCATCTTCTGCTCCTTGAGCAGGGAGCCAGGCAGGTTTGAGGCATACTTGAAACCAGGGCCACGCTTTTGCTTGTAGGCCAAAAAGAGAGAAGAGACAAACCAACTGTATATCTTTGGACCTGCCAGCCCCTGCCTACTGCTCCCCCCAGCCCCTGTGTGGCCCCAGGGCCCAGAGCCCAGCACTCACTTTCCCAGTCTTGCCGGCGTGGTTGCACTTCGGGCACTCCCAGCAGTTTGGAAGCTCATCGTTGACCACACCCTCTGACTCCTTAATCTGCAAAGTACATACAGGAGTCAGCAAGTCAAACTGGCAGGGTGGCCCCGGAGACGAAGGTCGCCAGAAATAGCAGCTGTACCCTCCCAACCGCCATGCCAAGGAGATGAGCTGGGCAAGCAAGGGGGCTTGGGGGTTGGGCCCTGAGTTTGAGTCTCACCAGCGCTGCAGATGGTCCAGGAAAACCACCTCTGGTCTCTGAGTGCCTCGCTCACAGGCCTTCAGAAAGCCGGCAGGCACATACTCACCCAGACTCATTGAGATGCCCAGACTCACACCAATTGCGACAAGAGTATAATAGCCAGGGGTAACACGGTATCCTGGGGGCTGATGGCCCAGTCCAGAAGGGTCTCATGCCAAAAGGTAGGACTCGTTGCCCATGACAGGCAGGATCCACCTGAAGCCACCACGAGGAGGGAACCCTGCCCTGAACACAGCCAGGGTGCAGCTCCCAGAGCAAATGCACAGGACTGCAGGCACCTGTCACTCTGCAGGGCCCATCCTCCCTGCCTAGGCACCTGTTCTCCCTTAAGCCCCACACAGGACTGCAGCGAACCACCACACAGCCTGTGCGTGCTCCCTTGGAGACCTGGGCAGAATCTCTGGGCCACCCCTCATAGGGACCACCAAGTTGAAGACCTCTCCCCAGGGGTCTCTCACCTTAAGGCATCCGGGGTGGATGATCTCGTTGCAGATGGAGCACTCCATGAGCATGAGGTTGAACTTGCCTTCTTCCTCCTCCACCGTGTCTTCCTTCCCGGCCTCGCCACACACCAGGCACACGGCAGTATGGGGAAGCACAGGCTGGAGAGAGAGGCAGAGTCAGCAGGTGGCTATGACAGACGAGTGGCCAAGGCATCACCCACCCATGACCCAGCTACCCACCTACCCCCTCATACATTCCTGGGCGACCATCTCTACAGACCGTGTTCTGCTTGACACAGTGGCCACAACCAGGAGCTAGCCAGACACCACCACCCCCGTCAGACTGACTTGATAAGGATGCCACCACATTGACCAGTCGCAGCTGGATTACGGCCACACCCACCAAAATTGCATTTCATTGACAAATGTCTTATCACATAGCAAAAAGGACTAAGATTAGAACAGCTCCAATGAGGGCAAGACACATCCTTGTGCCACTGTGTGCTGCGGTGACTCGCCTGCTCTCTTCAGAGTGTCCATTTTACTTGGGAGAATGGGTGGCAGAGAAGCCACACTTACGTGAATTACCATCTGGCCCAGCAATTCCACCCCCTAGGTATATATCCGAGGATGGGAAGCTGCAACTCACACCATGTCCACTGCAGCCCTGCTCAAGAGTCAACAAGGTGGGAACTAGGCAAGGGGCTGCCAACTAGGTTTGCACATGTACGCGTGCGCGCGCACACACACGCCGTGTACACATGCATACTCACACCCACTCCCACACACTGCATAGCTGTTCTTTGACAGCACTGTGCAGGTAGAAGAAGCCAGACAAAGGGGTACTTATTGTTTGATCCCATTTACATGAAGTCTCCAGAACAGGCCAGTGCATAAAAAGCAGTTTATTAGTGGTAACGGGTGGGAGGGGCTGTGGGAAGAAACTACGCTTCTGTGAAGGGGGAAAACTGGGAAACAGATCAACCGTGGCAGTGGCAGCAAGACAAACAGGCTCAGGAGACTGAATTACACATATGACAATGGTGGACACGGCAAATGTTTCATAGCCTGCACATCCTCACCATAAAGTGCTGTTGAAAATGCATGTTCTGTAGGGAAAAGCCAAAATCCACCCATGGCCACAGACCTCTGAGCACTGGGCATTTTCTCCAAGAGAAAGATGCAACTCTGTTGCTTCTAGAAGAATAGCTGACAGCGTCTATTACAAATGATAAAAATTTGAGTTTAAAAATTTTTTTTGAGTTTTGAAAAACTTATATATTAACTAACACAAACTGAACAATTCCCAATGCTTATAGACTTTCCTGATGACACTGGTGCAGACATCAACAAAGTGACCTAAAAACACACACACACACACACACACACACACACACACACACACACACACACACGATATCTGATGTGCTAAGTTTTAAAAAATTTTTCTAGATCATGTGAGCCAACACATCCACTCCTCACTTATAGACACTTTCCAAAGCCAGGCTGTTCTGCAAAACTGGAAGATGACCACGTTAGATCACACAATGGAGAATTAATACATTGTTACGTAATTGGCAAAGTACGTTAATGCCTAATGTACTTTGACATCATGGCACAAAAACCAAACCACTAAGTTATCCGAGCTGACACATCACCCTCACCATCACCACCAGTGCTACTCTCCCCGCACCAGGGCATTCATGAATGCCAGGTACACTTCATTCATGCTCAACAGAGGTGGGCAGTCAAGTTGTTACTATTTACCCTCAAATGCAGACTGTCAGAAAACAAGACAGTCCATAAGTAAGTGACAAACATATGACCGTAACAGATGACTGTATGAAATCACGCATGAGTAACTGAGTTTTTCAAAGGGCTAGAAAGATGAATGGGTTTTAATGTAACATAGTATGGACAGTTCACTGATAGAGTTTCCTATTCTAGATCCCAAGTAACCTTTAAGAAACTGCCACCTATTGAGTTTTAGTGTCATATCAAAGAATACACACAATTACCTTACAAGGCTATTAACACACTCTGCCTTTTTCTCACTCTATACCCAAATGAGGCCAGATTTTCCTCCGATATTTTCACCAAAAAGATGTATCACAACAGACTGAATATGGAAGCAGATAAGGAAACCCATTTTTCTCCTAACAAAGCAGACAGAAAAACAGATTTGTAAAAATATAAAACACCACTCTTCTTACTAATTTCTGAGGAAAACACTATGTTTTCCCCCTTCTCACATAAACACATATGACTTGTGTTTTTAGTTTAATGGGTTTTTTAGTTTAATGGGTTTAATGGGTTTTTAGTTACTGAAGACATCACTTATATAATGACTATCAATAAATAAAATTCACATTCAAAAAGAGGTCAGCTTGGATGATCCTCACTCCACCCCCAGGCCCTGCCCTGCCTCCACAGCACTGTTGTCCCAGACAGACTTGGGGACTTAGTTCCAGATAAAACATCCAACGACAACCCTATGGGTCATAATGTTTCCATTGGACTGACTTGCAGGAGGTTGCCATGAGGTGGGGCTGGCAAGACAGCAGCTAAAGCTGCAGACTGCGCACAGAATGAGCGAGGCCTTCTTGTCACACTGCTTTAGGGAGCTCCCAATATGCTGGGGCATCCACACCACTGAGAAGTGGACACGTCTGCACAAGAGCATCAACATGTGAACTCAAATACACAGAACACTGCAGGTAGAAGCATCTTCATCCACACAGCAGAAGTTACGGAACCACTGCTAAGCATGAAATAAGGTACCAAGAGGGACAGAACTGTGGGGAGACTGTTGCTCCTCTACAGGCACTTGGAGATAGGAAGGCAGAACTCAAAGAAATATCCTGATAAGTAGTAGGAGAGTCAGAAGATACTGATGTTGACTGGATTTTTAAATCCCATCAAGCCCACTGAGACCAAGGAAAGTCTGAGACTGTCACAGCCAAGAGAAGCCTCAGAAGACGTGCAGACTGTAGTCACATGGGCTCCTGGAGATGCAAAAGCGCAGAAAAAGGACACCAGAGGAAAACTACAGGAACCTGAACAAAGTATGGACTTAGTTGACAATGACATGCTACTCTTGGTTCATTAAGGAGCCCTAGTGGCTGCTAACCGAAAGGTCAGCGGTTTGCGCCTACCAGGCACCTTGTGGGAGAAATATGAAGCCTTTTGCTCTCATGAACATTGAGTCTCAGGAACCACGTGCCGTCCCCTCTGCCCCCAGCCGCCGGGGCAGTTCTGCTCTGGTCTATAGATAGGGCTGCTAGGAGCAGAATCAACTTGATGGCAATGATTTGGGGTTTTACTGGTTCACTCATCACAGAAAATGAACCATGCCAATGTGATGTGTCATTAATGAGGGAGACAGAAATCCCCTGCACTTTTTTTTTTTAAATTTTTGGTAAATCCAAAACTTCTTAAAAAGAAGAAGAAAAAAAAACTCTTACATCAAATAAGAGAGGGCCTACAAAAGGCCTGGGGTGGGGGTCTCATACTTGTCCTGGTTGGATAAATGTGGAAGGAACTAGTCCAACCAAGCAGGAGTCAAGGGTGGGCGGGGCCTTGCACCTGGGAGCCAAAGCTGGTTGAGGAGAGAGGTCCACACGAGTGTGCTGCCAGTGGTAAAGAAAAAGGTAAAGGCAGATGCGCAGGACCATGGGACCAGGAGACACACTACAGGAAGTCCAGCCCTGTAGTGGTTTTTAGTGTCCCTGACATTGAGGCTCAGCCTGGCAAAGGGACCAAGTACTGTGGAAGGGAAGACAGGAACCCTATCGCTCTAGAGGAGGCAAAGAATGTCTCAGGGAACCAGGGTGCGGGAAGAGGCCCAAGTTGAAGACAGTCCTGGGTTCACTGGCGAGTCACTAGGTTTGGGTAAAACTCTCCTCAGAACTACCAGGTCTAACAACAGACTACCTCTCCTACATCCTGGCCCAACACAATGACCACACTGGCCCTTGCAAAATAACCACAGACCCATGCCCAGACCCTCCCGCCCTTCATCCCAGGGTGCACACATTTCCTGCTGTCCATGCAGATGGCCTGGGGCACAAGTGCCAACCAAAAACCTAGGCAGAGCCCTGTGTGTGGTTGGAAAAGGGAGAGTGGCTGACAATCTCTCTGTGCCAGCTGGGCCTGTTGGGGAGCTACTTGTATCCTGGAATCCTGCCCCTCCAGCCTAGCCTGCTTTTCTGGGGTGCAAGAATATTACTGAGCCTGAGGCAGTGCCCCACAGAAGGGAGTGTGTGGGTGGGACCCTGACGAAGGGCCTAAGTAAGGATGACTCGTGGGACAGACAAGGACCATTCCTAACTTCTGAAGCCAAAGGCTAGACCCTCTAGTGCACTGCCCCTGCTGGAGGTGAAGGCCGGTGGTCCCATAATCACCCTGCCTCTCTGGGTGGCCCTCAAGAGGGTCCCCAATCTTCCAGCTATACCACTGACATTGAAGAAGGGAAAGAGGGAGGGGATAGGGGAAGAGTGTACTGATATTCTGAAGTCAATGTAGGCAGCACAGTCCAGACAGGACAAGCTGCCAGACATCAGTGATGGCAGAAACATCACAGTGTGTGGCCATTTCAGGAAGGAAGGAGTTCTAAGGCTACAGGGCTGTGACAAGGGGCCTACACGTGGTGGGGCACCCAGTGCTGCACAGAGACACCCGGTCCTCCAGGGCGCAGGGGTATGCAGCTTTCTCTTGGTGGATAATTGCAGGTTGAGGCAGAGGGTGGAGTGCAAGGGGGCCTGAAGCACTACCCAGCTGGCTGCCCACCCAGTACCGGTCCTGGCCACATACTCACCGCAATGCACTGCCGCATGATGCAGCTCTGCTTCATCCGCCCAGGGCCCCCAAACTTCTTCATGTCCTTGCAGAAGTGGCACTCGCCGCACTCCGTCCGCAGGCAGGCCTCGCACTTGCGGCATCGCGTCCGGCGCCGGCGAGCTCCCGCCGTGGTCCGGTTGGCAGCCAATTTCACAGCAGAGGCTGGGCCCAGCTTGCCCTTGGGCCGACCCACTGCCCGATTCTGCAAGGGAACAGATGGAGCTGGTGAAATGGGAGTCCCTTTGAGGCCATCAACCCTGGTGCCAGGCCTCCCTCCAGGCTGAACCCTTTCCTGTGGCCACCAAGGCTGCACCTGCCTAGGCTCTAGGCCGCTCCCCACAGTGGCGAGGGCCTCAAATTCCCACTCCTCTGAAGAAAGCTTCTCTTCTGAACCCCCCACCCTGCATGTCAGCAGAACACTTCGGTGATGATGTCTGCTCTGCCCTCTGCCAGAGCCCACCGCTTCATCAGTAGGTGACTAGCACAATAAATACTTGGGCATCACCCCACCAGGGAGAATTCAAGTCAACTCCAAGACCTTGACCTTCTGAGCCCTTCACCCAGCTTGACCTAGGTGGGCTCCAAACTTGCAGGAAAGAACAGCACACCAAAAGCCTGCTGCCACTGACAGACTCCAGGCAACCCCTTGTCACAGGGTAGAACTGCTCCATAGGGTTTCCTTGGCTATGTTTATGGATAAAGTAGATCACCAGGCCTTTCTTCCATGGTACTGTTGGATGGGCTTTACCCTTGCACCACCCAGGGACCTAGATAAACACATAGTGGTGATCATCATAAAGTGACCAAGAGAGCAGGCCCTGTCAGGTGGCCTCCAGCCCCAAGACTGCAATCCAGGAGTCCTGTTAACACACATACACCAAGGAGAAAAGCCACAGGCAAGAAAAGCCACCCACTGTCTCCTAGATGACGCCTGGCTCCCATCAATTCCCTCCACATACCACTGCCTGTCCCGCTCCCCCCACAGATGCAGCCTCCACAGACCCTGCCAGAATGCTGATAGTGGGGTGGCCCCAGGAGGAAGAGAAATGCTGGCTCAGGCTCCCCGGCCTGTTCAACCTTATGTCCCCCACCCCCATCTCCCAGTCAGGGCCACCCACACCTCTGGGGCAGCCCAGGCACCACCACCCACTCACTCTGGGCCATCCTCCAGCTCCACACACTTCCGCCCCACAGCAGACGCCATGCAGGATATACAGTGTCAAGTCCATCAGGAGTGAAAAAACAAAAACAAAATACAAAGAAATCCTCACCCTTTTTAGAGCCTGGTAAGTTTTCTATTGGCCCCACACAGGGCCTCTAGACCCGAGACGGCTGACCAAGAAGGGCCGCAGCAGCAGGACAGCTGGAGGGCAGTCGTATCAGGCCCTGCCCTAGTCACTTTCACATTTCCCAGGGGACAGCCCTAGTCACTGCATGGAACAGTCCTAAAGAAGCCACTGCTATCAAGTCGATTCTGACTCACAGTGGCCCTACATTAGAAGTGTGCCAACATTTTCCTTTTCCTGATGAGGGCACTGCCACTAGAGAGGCAGAGCCCACCCAGAGCCTAGACCAGCTGAGTCTCCCCAGGCTCCAAAGCTACGCTCCTAACACTGCAAATGACGGTGAGGTTACCTGAGAGGCAGGGAGGGTCCTACACAGTCCAGCAAACGGTGCTGACCAAAGGGGAGGGAAGTTCCACCTCCTGGGATGGGGACACAGGAAAGCCTGTCTTCCTACACCACATACGTGTCCTACTGCCAACAGACTCCTCAAGCCCTGGGCCATCCCCCCAAGGACCCAGGTGAGGTTCCAGGAGGTCAGGTGACATGCCATGAAAGTGGACAACAGAGGCCTGCCACAATGTCCACGGAACACTACCAGAGGGGAAGGGCTGGCTCTGGGACCCCTAGAGCCAACGATCCTGAGCCAGCTCTCTCTTCCCACTCCAGATGCCAGGAATAACTGGCTGAGGAAAGGCCATGGCGAGGAGGACAGGGAAGGAGAAAATGGGACAATCTCACCAGTTAAGTTCACAGAGATATCACCTCCCCATGCTTTCCAAAGCAAGGCCTAGCTTATAGAAAAACCCAAATTGGTCTGGACTTCCATAGCAGCGGAGACATCCTGGAAAGTGAGAGAGCAGTGCTTCAGCCGAGGAAACGGGCAGGAGGCCTCTACCTCCTAAGGCCTCTCCTCAGCTCTTCTCCCTGCCGGCAGAGCAAGCCAGACACATTCCTGCCACCCGGCCTTGTCCACTTGAAATGCAAGATCCTGGTGAGAAAGCACAGCCACAACCAACAGCTAAGAGGTGGGTTTCCACAGAAAAGCCCAACAGAGATTCAGAGGAAGCAACCAGGGAGTAAGACAATGGAAAGAAGGGGCACAGAGGGCACAAGGGAATAAGAATGAAAGTGAACAAGCTGAAGCACTCTCGTCCGGGCACAAAACTCCTGTCCAGGTCTCTCTCCCGTGATACCCAAAGCTCCCCACACCCCATCTGGAGCCCGCTCCGGCCCTTGTGAGTAAACCAGAATCTCCTCCGCCTGTCTGCACATGAAGAGTTCTGCTCAGCAAAGGGAACCACGGACCGGACCGTGACTTCCTCTCTCAAACCAGCCTCCCCACCCGAAGGCCACCCGCTGATTTCGCCAGCCCAGGTCCTCAGTTCCATCTGGTGAGGAAAATACGAAGACCACACAAAGACGGTATTCCCACTGCTTTTTGGCTACCGGCAACTCATCAAGGGAATGGTTAGCTCACTCATCCCAGAAAGAGTCCTTAACTGAGTGCCTTCCCACATACAAGATACGGTGCTTTAAGAATGGTCATGAGTGGAAGCTCCTCCATCCTCCTCTCTAATTTACTGGGATTACATCTACTGGGATTAACCTAAATAAATGGAAAGACATCACATGTTCACAGATTGGAAGAATTAATATTGAGATAGCAGTATGCCCCAAAAGTGATCTACAGATTCACTGCAATCTCTATAAAAATCCCAGGGGTTTTTGTTTGCTTGTTTGTTTTTAATAACAGAAATGCACTTGTTGATCCTAAAGCTCATACAGAAAGGCAAGGGACCCTGAACAGCCAAAGCAATCATGAAAAAGCAGAAGTTGGAAGATTCATACTTCCCAATTCCAAATTTTGCTACACAGCAAACAAGGAAGACATCTAGATCAATGAAACAGAATTGAGAATGTAGAAATATGTGGTCAACTGATTTTTGACCAAGATGCCAAGACCAATCATTAGAGAAACCAGTGAAAAAACTAAGACCTAGTTGCCATCAAGTCCCTGTTGACTAGGCCCCCTCCCCCAGGCTACCATGAACGACCGAAGCACTACTAGCATTTTCAATGCTGCTTCTCCTTCTGCGGTGCCTCTGGATGGAAGCAAACCTCCAAACTTCTGGTTAGCAATCAAGCATGCTAAAATTTTAACGCAAGCCAGGTGCACTTTCAGTGGGCAAAGAAAAGTTTTTTCAAAAAAAAAAGAAAAGCTTTTTCAACAAAGGAGCTAGCACAACTGGATATTCACCAGCAAAAGAATGGGATGTATTCCAACTTCACAGCAAATCCAAAAATTAACACAAAATGAAACCAAGACCCTAAACATAAGAGCTAATGCTATACAATTCATAGAAGAAAGCATAGGCATAAATCTTCATGACTTTAGATTCAGCAATGGTTTCTTAGATGTGATACCAAAATTCCAAGTGATAAAACGGAACAGATAAGCTGGACTTCACAGACATGAAGGGCACTAGCAAAAAGTAGAAAGCCCACAAATAAAAGGAGGAAACACACAAAAGGTATTATCTGACTGGGCCTGTATAAAAAACTCTAACTTGATCAGGTATCAAGCATCAAAGAACAAAAAATCGTATCATTGTAAATGTTGGTGAATGCAGAGTGGAGACTCAAAGCCCATTGGTGGGCAACTGGACACCCCCTTACTGAAGGGTTATGGGAAGGAGATGAGCCAGTCAGGGTGCAGGGTAGCAACAATGAAACATATAACTTTCCTCTAGTTCTTAAATGCTTCCTCCCCCCAACTATCATGATCCCAATTCTATTTACAAATCTGGCTAGACCAGAGGATGTACATTGGTACAGATAGCAATTGGAAACCCAGGGAATCCAGGACAGATGAC